GGGAAATAGCAAATACAGAGTTCATAGCGGCTTATAGAAGTAGCATGTACTTAGAAGTTCTAATTAGCGTGTGCCTTTATTTCGCAAGAAGTTACTATCCTAATTTGGGACAGATGAGACTTACCCACGAAGAGATTTCGGGCAATCGTCAAGTAATTGCATTTACAATGTTTATTTTCCTTTTTTTATGAGTGCTTGATAAAATTATTTTATGTATTTTTCAACAGGTGCAACTTGCAAGCGCAGAACTGTTGACATTTATATCTTCCGAGTTGATTCCTATCGTTCGTGACTCAGGGAAAGGTTTTAGTTGTTATATAGTCGATCTACTCACCAAGTGTAAAGTACAAAAGGTTGCATTACATTGTCTTGTATCTAGTGTAATGAACATGAAAAACGCTCATAAAGAGAGTGAAGAGGTATTTACGTTTACTGAGGAAATAATTCTGTTCAATGACCCAGTCACAGAGAATGATATGAATAAATGCAGATATAGAGCTAGTGATCATACAGAGGCTTTTCAGATACAATTATTGAGGTGAATATTTGAAGAAGAATGTAACGAAAATATCCTAACAATTTCACGTTGTGTTAATGAATTTTTTTTTTGTTATTATTCAAGACTATTATTAGCTTTAATCATGTTGGAACATCAGTGTGGTAATCAGAAAGGCGAGGAAATATGTCCACCAACTACTCCAACGCCGAGTACTCCAACACGAACTGTTCCTAGTATTATGGGAAATAGCTTAAAGTATGTACCTGGTGTGCCAATTCCACAGCAACCAATGTTCCTTGCTAGCATACTAAGTGCTTTAAAATTGGTAAGTACGACGAGCTCCACATTGTATTGTTGGAAAATAATTTATTTTTTATTAGAAATATGTTTCCATTTTAAAGGATCACATGAGACACTTGCACCAGCACTGGACTACTCTCGTTACATCGAGTCTTCCGTTCATGGGATCTTCGTTAACGTCTATAGTTACCTCAGTTATCCACCAATTATGTTGTAACATCGAACACTTAGCGTCGTATTATATTAACGAAGAAACAACAACAGCAACAAAGTTGCAAGATTTAAGTACAGTCGAGTGTTGTCTTCCTGCGGATTATACGGTTACGCATCTAGAAGCTTTAACATTTTTACTTCACTATTGTTTATTGGATACATCGCAACAAATTGGATTCTCGTTTAATCAGCCTCTGAGTGGCACGATTCAGACTGGAATTCCAGGAGCAAATCCAGGCCAGATATTCAATAATCTGATTCACGTGTTTATGCCCAGTCCTCTTTCTCCGGTAAGTGTATAAATTTTTACGTTTTTGAATAATTTTAATCAAATAACACTTTTTTTTTTTTTTTTTCTTCATAGGATCTTGGTACAATAAAAGATAAAAATGGCGCCACTGAATTGCAGCAACACGCTAGAAGAACCGCTTTGAGTCACCTACCAAGAATAATCGCATCTCTCTCTACTCTTTGGCAAGCAGTGTTAGCAACAAAGGACAAGTTTGTTCTTGAACTTTTTTCGAAGGTAATAATGAAAAAGATACATTGTACTAACAATATCCTTTTTATAAAAATTTAGCGATCAAGCCAGTTGTGTGGTGGGTAGTCCAAGAATAGTGAAACACCAACTTCTAGAACTCTTATCTCCCATATCTTTTCATCATGGCGTCAACTTCCTGGCCGCTATTGCTGTTGCCTGGCATGAAAGGCGACAGCCTTCTAGTAATTCAAAAAAGGTAGCTATCTTATCGCAATTCTACGAATATAATTTATTTTACATATATATTTAAATTATGTTATATTTTATTCATTTTTTTAGGTGCTTCCAGAAGCTTGTCCAAATCAGCAAGTCATGGTTCATTTAGTAAGCGCTATTCGCGTAATGCCCATCGATACTTTGGTTCAAACTGTACACCAAGTTGTAAAGAATCCCCCACCAATTCAAGGTGTGAAGCAAGACTTTTCGTTAGAAGTTTCCGTGTTAGAGCTACTGTACGTTTATATGCAAAGTAACACGTCTCAGTCTCTTATTGAGTCTTGGGCATCTTTACTTGGTTTACTAAAAGACGGCCTATCCTTGACGGCGCCTGCTCAGTTTCTTTTATTGGCAATCTTAAACGAATACGTTCAGAAATGTCCTCCAATGCAAGAGAAAAAGGATATAAGGGATCTGCAAGATGTATCCGCGAAGGTATTCCTTTCTACTTTTTCTCAGATCAATAAATTTTTACCTTTATATTTATATTCCGTTAAAAAAATGTTTCAGCTGGTAGAATCGTGTTCACAAATAGCTGGAGCATGCCTCGAGCAAACGACCTGGTTAAGAAGAAACTTAGCAGTAAGAGAAGACGCGTTCGAGGTTAACGAAGGATCCTCGGAAGGTAAAGAAGGCAAAAGCGGTGCTGGTGCGTAATGTGCTTTCTTTTAGAAAGATTTTATTTTCAATTTTGTTAGTAATCGGAATTGTTATAGTTTGCTCTCTTTTCTTTTTTCCACATTAGAGCAATATGCCTTAGCATTCTAATCTTGAATCGAAATTGAGAACTAACAAAGGTTTTTTTACAGTAACACCCGGCACACCGCCTAATGCAGCATTTAGTATCCAAGCTCAAGCAGTTCTAGCAGAAATACTAGCACCTTTGTTGGACGTTAGTTACGGTTCCCAAGAGAAAGAACGCGTAGTAACGCTGTTAACCAATCTCATGTATAATGTTACGCCTTATCTTAAAAATCATTCGTAAGATTCCAGCCAACTTAAGAGTTCATCACTTCTCATTTAGTTTTCATGTTCTACTAATTGCTAAAAATTTTTAGGACAAAAAATATCGCCTCGTTCACAGCTTGTTCCCAGTTACTGAGTTCCTTGTCTGGTTACCAGTACACGAGAAAAGCATGGCGCAAAGACGTACTGGATCTTCTGTTAGATTCCGCATTTTTCCAAATGACACCAGCGTGTTTACCGTATTGGAGGACTATCATAGATAATTTAATGACACACGACAATACAACGTTTCGAGATTTAATGAGTAGTTATCCCCTTAACACGAGTAGTAGCAACGAACGAATTATGAAAGAATTTTTTTATAACAAACTTACTGTGTTGCAGATCGCGTTTCCATGGCTCAAAGTAGTAGTATCAGTATATTTTCCTCGAAGGAGCAAGAATATGAGCAGAAAGCTCAACTTTTAAAAAGATTAGCGTACGTGATACTTTGCAGTGAAATGGATCAGTATCACAAATACATGCCTGAAATTCAAGGTGAACTATTGATAATACTACTATAAGTCAATTTTATGCGAAATTAAATTTTTTTATGTTCTCTATTAGAACGACTGGCGGATAGTTTGCGATTACCACAAGTGATTCCATCAATTCAAGCGCAAGTCTTTCTTTGTTTCCGGGTACTGCTCTTAAGAATGTCTCCACAACACGCTACTTCCTTATGGCCGGTAATAGTCAGTGAACTTGTTCAAGTCTTCCTATACATTGAACAAGAACTGAACACAGATACCGAAGAATTCAGGTAGAGTAATACTTGATGCTTCTAATTACCCAAGATATTCTGCTTTTGGGATTTTGGTGCTTTTTTTAATGCATGAAATTCTGATATAGATTTTTAGAAATAATTGAACATCCACATTCATTATGTGCCTATTATCTATCCTTTAACATATCTGATAATCCTTCATTAAGCGAATTTAACGCTATGCTCTAATTAAACTGTCTGTATTTACTCCTTACTAACATTAATAATACCTCTAATGTCATATTGTTTTTGACTCTGTTTCGGTATCCGTGATTTGATGGAATTTGTGATGCCTCCGTAAATTGATTGGTGTTGGGACATCAGTCGTCATGGCAGGTAAATTTGAATGCTTCTTGCATATTAACTTATACGAAACGAAATGCAAATTTCAGATCGTGTCTAAGAATTATCATTTCTTATATGTTATTAAATTATATTTCACTGATACCTATGCAATAAGAATTCTTAGATACTTTGAGGAAATGTTATATTGTCAATTGTGTAAAATATTAAAAGATAATGTCACATTTCTTTGAAGAACATTTTGTAGCATTGGGAGATAGTAGTTACAATATGTAATAATTCATGGGATTTGTGTTTGTTTTGTTTTTCTGCTTCTAATCGCAATATGTTATTTAAAAAAAAAATGGAATATAAAACTCGTTAATTAAATGGACCTTCTTTTTGAAAATATTATATTTCCCATTTCTATGCAGTTCACATATAAAACTACTGTCAGCTTTGGACTCATCTTGGGCTGTAAATGCTAATAATGGACTCCAGGCACATGGTCATCCTCACTGGTTGCAGTTGCAATTGGCAGCTGCTAAGTTGTTAGACCTGGCATTGCTCTTACCTGCACATAGACTTCCTCAGTTTCAAATGTAAGTGAAGAGCCTGAATTATTATTTAGAATAAATAACCTTCATACAGAGAATTCCATAAAATTGTTAATTTATTTCTATAGGTATAGATGGGCATTTGTGGGGGATTCAGCAGCAGGATCCATGGAGAACAATAATTTGTCTTCTGATTTTGTACCACACATTACAAGAATAGCAAAATTGATGGACAACAAGGTATGTTTAAAAGAAACACTTTACATTCAATTTCAAAAATTTTTCCATCACTTTATTCAAATCAATATAAATTCAGTAATCTGTTGTGTTATACAAAGCGTCATCAATATCGAAAGTAGAACAAAAGCAATACACTTTTTGTATATGTTAATATGTACAGATTATGTGATATAAAAATTATCTTCCCTTGGAGAACACTGTTCCGGCAATGAACATTGTTGCGTTTTATCATCGAACACATATTCTTCCTTACACTCGCATCCACTTTTGCATGGTGTGTAGCAATCTACTACATCCGGCTCGGAGCATGTGAATTGACACAGACAATGAGTCCAAACGGACTTTTCGTCGCATTGTTGGATATTTCTAGTGATCACATAATCGAGTTCCTCATAATCATAACCAGGAATCCGATGCTTGGTGTATCGATACACTTTTTCTGGTTTATACCAATCTAATTGTGGAACTGGTGATCTTTTCTTAAGAGAATCGTCGTTGATTTGAAGATCATTTTGCGTGTTTGCATCCTCAAAGTTGCCCAAAATGTAAAAATCGTCCTGACTCATATCGTTCAAATGATCTTTATTAAAGTTTCCAATGTAACTGATTGGCATATCTTCATAAAAATCTAGATCCTTGTAATCAGAATCATCCGTATATTCTACAAAGTAAAGTAGAATCAAAATAGTGCACTATTGATAAAATTTTAAATATTATAAATTTTTGCAAAGCAAAATATTATGCAAATAGTATGAATAAAAATTGACAGCTTGATGTATGATTTGTATCATTTAATTTCTATTAATTACTTCCAATTAACTTAAATTAAGTCCATTAAAAGCAGAGAAGCTATAATGAACTAGTAATCGCATCTTTATTTTTCCGCTCTTATTAAATAGGAATTGAATGTGAAGAAATTTAATTTTGAGAATTTTAATTTCGTAAAATCAATCTTTTTTAAATGTTTTAAACACTATTACAATGAGAATTTAATACCAGATTTTTATCACATGTAGTTATGCTCCATTTTCTTTATTATGACAAAGCATATGTTTATTTATTTGTTTATTATTAATTTAAAAAACACTTACGTGATTGTGTATAACACTTACGAGCATTTATTACTACTACAAGATAAAAGATGAAACAAGCAATTGTTCTTAGTCCAGTCACTGCCATGGCCACTTTCAAACTGATTGACAGTAAACTGTGTACAGTCTTTTACTACAAATTTAAAACTTGTAGTAGTTTATATTTATCCAAATCAATTAGTATTGAGAAGAAAATTGTTTTACACAATCACTTGTTGAACAATTTTTACTTAATACTTTTGTTTCTGCTTCTTATTATTTTTTGAATCTCAGGCATCTGCTTTGACCAAATAGATTGCATGCACTACTTTGGACTGCTTTCATCAGTTCTGATGAAATACTTATTTTGGTAACATGCAAATTATATATGTATAGTTTATTTCTGTAACCATGCCAATAACCCTCCATTTTAATAGTTCAGTGCTCAATTTATGTTTAACATTACAATATAAACTGTATGTCAGTGAACTAGTTACCAGAAATTTTATGGACAACATTTAGCAAACTTCTTACCCAGCATAAATTTAATTTAAAGATTTATGAACCTATCCTTATAAAACCAAATGAAAGAATATATTCTAACAATTGCATTTATATTTTCAAATTTATAAATAACACAACAGATTACTGAACAAGTGTTTCCCTCATTGTTCAAGGATTAACAGAGATCCTGCATCATATAATATTTAATTTGTTACAGTACAAACAAGGCACAAGCTCCATGAAAGCGATACCCGGGGAACTTCTTTTAACTTCAAATAACATACGTTCATTGCAAGATCTGCATTATTTTTTTACTACACTTAGCCGCAGATCTAGCGACACGCAAGCACCGTTAAATATTACTCAACTGGAAACGGTGATCGAACAAGATTTTCTTGAAAAAATGCCAGCTGCAAGGTAGTAGGAATACACGTTGAACAGTGCAGCGAAGAAAAACTTTTAAACATGTCTAAAAGCATGGAAGAATCATCTAAACACCTTTATTCTTTGATATCTTTTTAATGCACCAGGTGTGGACGTTGATTCATGTACACGATTAAGTGAGAGAACTCGATTCCATTGAATACAGGAGTAACGAGGCTCCTTGAATTCAATTCTATACAGTTTATCATTAAACTTGTACATCGCAAATTAAGTAATGTAGACACAATGTAATATATAGCGATATATTCGAAGGACTATTTGATTTTTATTAGCTAAGCTTCTAACTTGTCTCCTCATTCGGTTGTGAATAGTTATCAAAAAGTATGAATACGCCAGGCTGGAGCCTAGCTAAATATTATATATCTGTAGAGAAACATGTACAGTGTAACATAACATTTTATTGAAACGTTATTTTTTCAAACTATTTCTGAAAAAAGAAGTTTGTTCTTTGTTTATCATGTGTGCCCCCTCTTTGCTAGTATATCGAAAATTTCAGAGGGTAGCTGCAGTGATATATGTACGAGTAAACGAAAGTTTCTTACTTTCTTTAAATTTACACGTTGATTCACGATGAACGCAAGATAATAACATGCCCTATGAAAATATATCGAGACGACTAAGTACGTATATTTAAAATGATCCTATTGTAACGGGTCTAAGTCGATGAAAGCTTCCGTTTTTCATTGTCTTTTATAATTTAAATGTTAAAATAGACGCCTGTAAGTAACCAATGGTGATTTTTAAAAGTGCAAAGATCGGGGGAAATATTGAATACTATATCTGAATACGTTAATTATTATAACCAGAAATTTAATGTATATGAACAAATGGAAACAGGGAATGCGTTTATACGTGTGTCATGTGTGTGAATATTATATTATTCTTTTCTTGGGAAAACACTGAATCGTGCAAAAGCAAAATTTAACAATTAAATAAATTTATTGTTTTCTAGTATCACCTACTGTATAGATACAGTGTGCACATAATAAAAAACAGGATTTGTCATCTGGTAAAAACATAGTTTATAATCTTCACACATGTGATTCATATACTCATATGTAATTAAAAGCACATCAACAAGAAACCTTGCTATCAAATTATTTTTCTATATGTGAACACGTCAAGATTTCGAGAGCATGCAAATTTTTAAACAATTTATATAATACAAACTTATTTATGAAATATTTATCTGTTAGAGTTGCCATTTTGTTTTTATCATGTATGTATATATTTGCTATGTAATTGCTACCGCATTATAACCGCCTTCTTACACTGTTTTACTTCTATTAGATGCGAAACAAATTAACTGAATAAGCATACATGAAATATTGTACACTATAATTCATCCAATGATTAAATAATTAAGTGACAAGCAGAAGTATATATACACAATCCAGTATTACATAATTTTATATTTAATGCTTGTTATGGAATGCAACATCATTTGTTATTTGCTTGTAAAAGGCACTTGTGTATTATTCAGTTATTTAATATACATATGCAATGTGGAAATTTGATGATTTAAAATTATAAGCATTTGTTATTTATACAAGATATAACTAAAAGAATAATTTTTCAATTGAACATTTTGTTATAATTCTATTGTAATAAATGAAAATATTCATACTTCATTTCTCATCATGTTTACAGTTATTAATACTGTTGTTTTAATGTTAAATTAATTAATTGACTGCAAATTGAAGTAAGTTTTATAAGTATTTAATGCATTTTTTTAAGCAAAGTAATTTTGTGTAATCTAATCATCTGATAATATTGATAATATTACTTGGTACATGAAATATTTTAAATTATTCAGTGAAATAATTCATTATGTTTTATTGCATCCTGTATATATTTTAAGATGCAATTTTAGTCCAACAATTTGTTAACTTATTCTGTAGTGCAACATTTTCATGAAGAAGAATATATTAGTTGTTTTCCTTGCTTTTTATCGTTTCTCTTTTTTTTTTTAATAAACAAACAGAAAATTTAGTGTATTTTTGGTACAATAATGCAAGACTAGTAACACGTGAGATTGTAAAACATTGGTAAGAGCGAGTAAGTGATATTCATATATATTTATGTTGAAATATGTAAATTTATATAATAAATTAATGTTCAACAGAATACCACACAATTTACCTACTTGTGTAACATTTAATTAATTTCATGCCCTACATTCTCATCAAACACGATTATTCCCGCAACAAGATCAGAAAACTTGCTCCAGAAAAAGCACGAACAATACACAAATTTAAATCAACCGCGTTCCCAGTTACCTGTCTATGATCCTCGTTCAGCGATCAATGATCCTCATCGCACCATTAATATCGAACACCGTCAAAATCAACAAAATATCATTTATTATTTACACCTCGTTACGCTTGTTCAAGTTTCAACAATGTGTCAAATCCATCGTGACGTATACAAATAGAAGAAAAAGAATCACCGGAGCACCAGTGAATCGACGGTGCAACGATAATGCATGAAATCCTGAGGGATGGCTTTTCGAACATCAGTTATCAAAACACAGTGACTACATAAGGTGTCGTCGAAAGGGAGAACGAAAAAAAATGCGACAGAAGCGGAGTTAGTTCGAAGGTGCATATGATAGACGACGGTATTAAGCAATATCCATGCACATAAGCGGTTACGTGCAGGAACCGGTTCTCCTGAATCGTTACACTTGAAAGGCTAGTTCTGAACAGACGAAACAGCGCAAGGTGAAAGTAGAATGATAAAAGAAAAATTCGGTGTTCGCGGTGCAAGAATCACCTATTGAATTATACGAGAGGCACGTGTAACGTGGCCAAGAAGAAGATGCGTGCGTCGTTTGATTGTAATTTCGTGAGATACTTCGACGGTCAGTTAGAGCTGTTCGCTAACCTAATTCGAGACTGATCGTATTTTGCCGTCACGTATCTGGTGTGAACGTAACTACGAAAAATAAACACGTATCGACCACGATAATTGTCGCATAATTGTCCTGTAGCAAACAAAATAAGTAACATCGTGGAGAGCAGCAGTTCGCTACTAAATTGTTTACAATGGCTATGCTTAACAAGTGGGAGAATACTTGCAGATTGTGCTCAGAAGAGAAGATCGAGATGTTGTCAATCTTTGGTAACGAGGGCGTACAGCGTAAAGTAGCGCAAAAGTTACGTGCTTGCCTGCCAGTCTTAGTATACAAAACAGATCCACTGCCAAAACAAATATGTCAGTTCTGTGCCGCAAGGCTGGACGATGTCTATGAATTTAGAGAATACTGTCTGAGCGTTTATAAAACCATGCACCTGAAGCTGTTAGCATATAAGGATGTTGAGTCTGTCCAAATCTATTTAGATGCAATGAAAAACTCCCCTGACCCATGTCAGGTATCTAATATTCTTTAGGTTATACATGTTGTACAATGCTTTTTATATTCTTTGTATAAACACAGTTGTAATTTTTAGGCTCAATTATGGAGAGAAAAGACTAGAGCACCACCACCTTTAGTACCTTTGCCAATCTTACTGCCAGTTGAAAGTCCATCAACACCAATAGATATTAGTCAAGAGCATCAGAATAGTTGTATTGAATCATTACCTGAATTACCATGTGAAGTAGAGATCAAAGAAATGATTACAGAACCAATACTAGAGACAGGTGTTAATATATATGAATTATCAAATAGAAATAAAATAGGAAATGAGGTATACAATAATCCAAACATAATAATGGAACATAATGCAAGTTTATTAAAAGAGGAAAGCAATGACTCGAAAGAAGACATACAGGTGAGAAAGGAAGAGAAGAGGACAAGTATTTTAGAGCAAGTACTAATGGGTAGTTTAACAATGAATGACAGGAAAGACTTAAATTCAGAAATCAAATTGTCCTCTAAGTGGTGGTGTGCTCCTTGTAATAGTTACTACAAGTAAGTTGTTATTAATTATATGTATAATGTATTGTTTGTAACAGTTTTGTAATCAGCAATTATTAATTGCAGAACAAAGGAAAGTTTAATGAAACATATGCAGTTAGAATGTCCAAGAAAGTATAACTGCAGAAAATGTTCAGCATGTTTTGAGTTAGTGGAAGACTTGGCTAAACATGAAGCTACTAACCATTTAAAAGTAACATTGGACTTTGATAGAAGTGTTATAGATTGTGATCAATGTGATAGACAATTTGTGAGCTGGGAAATGTTGAAGAAACACAGATTACGTGATCATTTGACTCAAACAAGTGAAACTGGGACCAATACATGGTGCTCCTTGTGCAATAGGTTGTAATACATTTTCCATTCATTGTCATTTTCCTGTTGTTACAAACCTGTCAATTTTTTTTTTAATTTCATCATACCTAACTTCTTCATAGATTTTTCCCAAGTGTAGAAGTTTATCAAAGTCATATTCAATTACATGAAGTCAGTAATTGTACACCAACAAAAGCACCACAATTAACAGATCTACAACCAGTCACAATTCTCAAGAGTGAAGAACCTCCAAAAGAAGTAAAGAGAGAACATTTCACAGAAGCTCCTAAATCACTTACATGTCCTACTTGTGGCAAGGTAGAAAATTTTACATGTATTTTATAGAAAAGAATATTACTAAAAACATTTTAATAATTCTATCTTTTAAATCCTTGTTTTTTGTGCACAGATCTGTACTCAACAAAGTGCATTATCAAATCATATGCGCACTCACGAACCAAAAAGGCATAAATGTGATATATGTGGGCGGTCTTTCGGACTTTTTATACGTCTAGCAGCGCATAGAATGAGTGAGCACAGTCAGCAACCTACAATGTCACCTGTAATGGCTAGTGTTGAGCAAGAAGAAGCATTAAATGCTGAAAAGGAAGCTAGGGAGGCGAGAGAAGCTAGAACTCGCGCTTCAAGAACTAGAACTTATTCAGAGGTTATATTACGTTTATTCATTTACATATTATTTAACAAAAAAGTCATAGAAATATAACACGAATACAATATACTTTGCAGATGATGGAAAGAGAAGATATTCCTAACCATCAAGAACCACTTTCAAAGAGAAGTGTTCCATTAAATACCAATGCATTTAAAAACGTGGCAAGATGTGGTATTTGTTTACAATGGTTCAGTGACCACACTACAATGTTGACGCATTTACAAACACATTCGGACAATTACACTTGTAAAACTTTCGCCTGTCACATATGTAAAAAATCATTTAAGGAAAAATGGCAATTATTTAGGCATGAGGTACATGTTCGTTATTCCACGTATATACGTCATCCCTTCTTTTACGAGTATTTTAACAACATTTTATATTCTAATTACAGATGTCTCATAAACGAAATGAGTCAGCATCAATGTACATATGTTCAGTATGTAATAAATCGTTCGTAGATAAAAATACGTATAAGGCGCATCAGAAAACGCACATCATCGATAAAACATATCATTGTTCGAAGTGTAATAAAATATTTTTCAAAGAAGTATCACTGTTAACGCATCAGTGTACAACAGAAGCTGTTCTCGGTAAAAAGGGAGTCCCCTCGAAATCTTCACAAAGGTCTGCATCATTGAGCAACAGCAAAAGGTATAAATGTTCCAAGTGTAACGCGTCTTTCAGCAGTTTTCAATCGAAGAATTCTCACATGAGAGTACATATGGAAAGTTCGCACACAACGGTAAGTAATTGAAATGGAATCGCCTTTGCAAATTATCAGATGTTTCATATATTTCAGAATTTCCCTTTATTTTATTCATACAGGTGCAAAATCACGATGTAAAGGAGGAATCAGAAGATGAATCTATGCCAAGATTAATTCCTGAAACATCAGTGGAGTACTCGGTATCTCCTATTGAACCGAAGGTAGAGATAAATGAAGAAAGTGCACCACCTCCTGTTAAAAGAACTCTTATCAGGACAACTGGCGGGTGAGATAGACATTTCTTTTTTCAATTTTCTAATAAAAAAATTTATGAGATGTTTATTTTTATTATTGTTATTTAGGTATCGATGCGGAGTATGTCAGTCTCCATTTGTTTTACGAGAATTGGCTGTCGCACATTTACGTTCTGCACATCCTCTGATGCCGTATCAATGTCCTTATTGTAAAAAACGATTTACGACACAGTACATGTTCACACATCATATTAAAACGGATCATCCTGATGAGCACGAGAATTGAATTGTATGTGTGTACAGTTAGTTCTAACATGCCAAACGGTTCTTATATTATAAAATATGCCTTTTAATATGGGGTAATTTTTGTTTATACATAAGTCTGTGTGTGTATATGTACATATATGCACACACAAATATATAGTAACAGTTATCGGTTTTATGCTGAAGCTGTATTATTTGATAATCTGGCACACTAGTTCCTGAACAAATAATTGGCCTTAAATAAAGTTTTGTAGTTTTGTTTCGTGAAAAGCGAAAAAAATATATACGATATATTCATAAATAAATATAGATTATGTTGAACAAAATATAGTTTTTAATAATGAATAAGTATCGTTTATCATAGGAGACTGGAATAGAACTAGTACTTATACTGAACGTGCCTGTTTAAGTACTGTGTCATAGTGCTATATGAACTTTTAGTCAAGTTGATTTACAAATACCGAAGAGACATAATATCGTGTTAGATATTGTACATGTCGTTAGTGATAGTTCTATGGAACTGTATAAAAGTGTTATTCTTTATGGTTATATATATTTTAGCGTTGACAGACATTCCTTTTTATCTAAAGAACTTCGGGAAGTTTTAAAAAAGTTCTTATCTTCCTTTTTTTTTACATCTACTTTGACTTTGGTAAGATCCTAAGAACTAAAACAAACAAGTAAACGTACGATTACTGTAAATTATC